TGATAATGATAATAATTAATAATTAATATTAATGTTGATATTTGTATTATTATTACTATTATTATTATTATTATTAATATTAATATTATGAGGTGTTAATATTATTATTGGAATTAATTTGGAATTAAAAGAAATAAGATTAATATTATTATTGGAATTATTTAGATTAAAAAGTGATTTTTGGGGTATTGAGGGCATAGTTGGCAATTTGGAAAAGAATAGAGAAAGGGAAGAACACGTGAAGAGGAGGAACACAGTTCAGCCAAGAAGAGGGAGATCAAGGTCTGAAGCTTGAGCAAGAGGAGGAAGAGGACCAAGCTGCTGAAATTTTGTGGGTTATCCATCATCAAACTGCATGTTGAGGTAAGGGGGGGATTGATCGGTTAAATGGTAAACTGCATGAATAATTGGTAGAGGGGAATTCCCTATCCCCATAGATTGATGATGAATTGATGATGATTATATGCGTTAATTCTATTCTGCATTGTTGATTATTGTATTGAGACTGTTGCATGCGAAATTTGATGACTGGTTGGTTGATTTGGGGGTTTCCGGGTAATACGAGGTTTTATGCCGGAAGTTGGCTAATCGAGCCAAATTGAGAATTTATCGGGTAGAATTGATGTCAGACCTTGCAGCTAGGTAGTATATTGTTATCTTGGCATTGTGGGAACTGATTTGGGTGGAATCGATGGAGTTCGGAGAGTGTTGCCGACTCTGAGCAGTGACTATATTTTTCAGAAATCGCAGACACTCGCTAGCCCAACGCTAGGCGAGTGCATAGCGAGCCTTCGCTGGTAGCGAGCGTGAAGCGAGAAAATCCAGTAGCTAATTTCTTGTGTTCGCTAGCTCGTTCGCTAGGCGAACATGCAGCGAGCGTTCGCTAGGAGCTCGCGTAGCGAGCAGGTTGCGAACGTAGCAGGTTTTGGTTTTTAAGAGCTGTGTACAGCTGTTGGCGCTGAGTGTGATCGGTCTGATGTGCTGTGATAATATTTGGGTGCTAAGTGTATGTTGGGTGTTAGAGGGCTATGTGGCCGGCGTTTAACGCATTTGACGTGATTGGTGGATTATGTGGTATATTTATATGTATGTGCTATATGATGCGATGGATCGGTAGGATCGGATACGCTTAATATGCGTTGTGTTGATATGTTGTGATGAGTGGATCAGTAGGACCAATACGCCTTGTGTGCGTTGTGTGTATATGTTGCGTGATGGATTGGATCGGTAGGATCGGATGCACCTTGTGTGCCAGATGTGTACACGATGTGTGATATATGTATTTATGATAAATGAGGAGATGTGGTCAGGGGATCGTGTGCACTGTGTGTGCTTGTGTGTTGTGTTGTATGTTTGATGCGTGTGTTGTGCATTGGGGTTATGCATAGCATGTTGTGTTGTTGTGCTCCCTTAGTGGAGGGGTGATGGCCAGGTGTCCATCGATTGTGTTGATGTACTCCCTGTAAGGAGGGTGATAGCCAAGTGTCCATCGATATTGTTGTTGTGCTCCCTGTGTGGAGGGTGATGGCCCAGTGACCATCGGAGATATGCTCCCTGTGAGGAGGGTGATGGCCAGGTGTCCATCGATATTGTTGTTGTGCTCCCTGTGTGGAGGGTTGATGGCCCAGTGCCCATCGGTGATGTGTGCTCCTATGTGGAGAGTTGATGGCCCGGTGTCCATCGGTGTTGTGAGTCGGTACCGCATATCATGGGTTGTGTTGCATGTGTGCAATTGTTGCATTGATTGTATGATGTGATTGATGATGGGACAGTAGGTCCGAATGCTATGTATATGAAATGATGTTATATATTTCTGCCTTTTATTTCATGTACATGATTACCGCTTTATATTTGATCGTGATTTCTCACCCCTCTGTTGTTGTTGTGGTATGTGCTTCTTCGGAAGTCCAGACAATCCAGGTGTTTAGCTAGCTTGGATTATAGCGATGTCGTAGGGATTGCTCTTATACATAACACCGGGGTTTTTGGGAGTTTTCATGTTTATTGATGATTTTGTGTGCCCCTGTGGCGTATCTTGTTGTGTTGAATATGATGATGATATTTTGTACATTTTGGGCAGATGGTCGACTTGTTGTACATATGATGATATTGATGATGTATATATACATATTATGTGTTTATCACAGACTTCTTCTTCCGCTGCAATTTTATTGGAAAATTATTTGAGAAATGTTCGGTGAAATTTTGGTGAAATGTGACATCTCGTTTTTGAGGGAAAACTCTGATAGGTGTTTATTTTATTTGTTTTGTTTTGTTTTGAGAAACGGGGTGTTACACAAAGTGGTCACAAGCTCAAAGTGCTCAAAAAAGATGGTGGAGGCGAATATGTCTCAAAAGACTTTGAGCGGTTTTGTGATCAAGATGGAATTGTACATGAGGTTGTACCACCTTATACACCGAACTAAAATGGTGTTGCCAAAAAGAATAATCAATGGGTTATGAACATGGTAAGAACCATGTTAAAGGGGAAGAACTTGTCTAAAGAGTTATAGGGAGAAGCAGTATCCAAAACTGCTTATTTGGTTATAAGTGTCCAACAAAGAAGCTTGAGAAGGTAAAACCAGAGGAAGCATGGTCAGAATTCAAACCAACTCTGAACCATTTGAGAGTTTTTGGTTTTGTAGTGTATCGACACGTTCTGGAGCATCTTAGAAAGAAGTTGGATGATAAGGGAGAAATGATTATACTTGTAGGGTATCACTCCACTGGTGGTTGTGAGTTATTTGATGCAGCAAACAGGAGATTTTTGATTAGCCGAGACATTGCTTTCAACGAGATAAAGCAATTGCATCAGCCTATAACCGGTTATGTAAAAGCTGTAACCGGTTACAACTTTGAAAACTCAGATTCTGCAGAATTGGGAAGTGCAAAAATGTTCGTAGCCGAAGCCCCAATTGAAGAGAATGTGAGAAGATTAACAAGGAAAATAGGTTTTCCTCAAAGACTCCAAGATTGTGATTTTTTCAGGGACAACGAAGTCAATGGTGATGGTAATTTCATCCATTTTGCACTTATGGCCAACTCTAAACCCGTTAAAGTAGAAGAGGCTTTAATGATAAAAAATGGATTTGTTTTATAAAGGAGGATCTGGAATCTATTGAGAATAAAAATACTTGGGAATTGGTAGATCTATCAAACGTGAAGAAGCCATTTGGTGTGAAGACAAATTCCAAGGGTGAAATAATCAAGAATAAAGCTCGATTAGTTACAAAGGAATTCTTGCTAAGAGAAGGCATAAACTTTGAAGAGGTACTCACACCGGTTTCTAGGATTGAAACTATAAGACTAGTTGTTGGTATTGCAAATAACAACAATTAGTCCATCTATCAAATGGACGTCAAATATGAGTTTTTGAACGGATCGCTTGAAGAAGAGATGTATGTAGAACCACCCCCTAGTTTTTTGTATCGAGAAACCAAGAGTTAAATTTCTACAAGTTGAAAAAAGCGTTATACAATTTCAAGCAAGCTCCAAGATCTTGGAACAAAGGGATAAATTGTTTCTTAAAGAAGGTTGCCTCTAAGAAATGTGTATCCGATGGCGTATATGTGAAGATGGATACAAGTGAAGGAGTCATTATCCTTTGTTTTCACGTAGACGACTTGTTGATAACGGGCAAAAATGAAAAGTACATTTCAAGGTTCAAGAGTGAACTTATGAAATAATTTGAGATAATCGACCTTGACCTCATGACATACTTCCTTGGCATTGAGTTCTACAAGTCCAAAAAGGGACCGCTCATGCACTAAAGAAGGTATGCACTTAAGATATTGAAGAAGTTTGAAGTGGAGCATTGCAACGCAACCATTACTTCAGATGAACCAAGACTACAGTTGTCGAAGGATTGAGATGAGCAAGATGTTGATCCAGCTCAGTATAGGATGTTAATTGAACCCCTGTGTTATTTATGCAATACGCGACCGAACTTGGTGTTTGGTGTCAGTGTTCTGAGTAGATTTATGGAGAGACCAAAGGTGTTTCACTTGGCAGCAGACAAGAGGATCCTAAGACACGTCAAAGGATCGATTGGCTGCAATTTTCTCTTTTCCACAACGGACATGGGCAGAAAATGCAATTTTGTCGATTTTACCGATTTCAATTGGTGCAAAGATAAAGATGATCGAAAGTCTACAACTGGATACATCTTTATGTTCGATGAAACACCAATCTTATGGTGTTTGAAGAAGGAACCTACAGTTGCACTCACTTTTGTGAGGTCGAGTACATTGTCGCTTCGTTATGTGTGTGTCAAGCCGCGTGACTAATGAATCTATTGAAGGGACTAGGCAGTAATGAGGGTCATGTTGTTACACTTCTGGTCGATAACATTTCCGCAATTAATCTTGTTAAAAACAACTCAATTGCACATGAGAGGAGCAAACACATTGAGATGAGGTTTCACTACTTGAGAAAACTTGTTAGTGAGAAAAAATTGAGATTGAAATATTGTCAAAGCAAAGAAAAAATTATTGATTTGTTGATCAAGGACATCACAATTGAAGTGTTCAAGAGATTGAAGATGAACACGAGCATAGAAGACTTAGAACACTTGAATTAAGGTGGCGTATCATAAGAAAATCCACAAAAAAAACCTTCTTGAATTTTTTACCTGAGAGCACATACAATTATACAAGTGATGCGGTATAGAGTATAGACCGTTCAAAATACATATATTATTCAACATATAGTCATATATTACACAATAACAATGGGAATATCAGCTCTGCGCCTAACCTTAAGGCTATATCTACAACTATAATCTATGAACTTGCCAACTACTTTGTCTAGCCTTGGCTTGGCATGTCAAAGAAAACTATACATTTATATCATATAACAAAACTATTCATCATACCTTGTCAAGAAAAAAATATGCATCATACAGCCATAAGTTACTGTGCAATATTATGCAGCAGACACATTGTGAGAATATTTTGATCCCATAAATGCTACAAAAAATATCCTAAAAGGAAAACGCAGTTTCATCTCTTGTTTTTTGATGCAACTGGACTTGATTTTCCCAACTGTGACAGTTTCTTAAAAAACGCGGGTTTCTTTGATGGTTTCTTTTCTTCAAAGATTTCGTTATGATCTCGAGAGTTGTTGGGATTTGGCTCAAAGCAACTTTCGTACTCGACATCCCTCAAAAGTCGGAGTAGTTCCAATGCCTTCGCCTTTGTGCTATCGTTTCCCAGATTGGAGATATTTACAAGATATGGTATGATACCCTCGTGCATAACCAACTCACAATAATCCAAGCGTTGAGAACACAAAGAGAGTACAATAGCCAGTGCCGGTTCCTTTTCCTCGTCAGTGCCAGACCCAAGTATTTCAACAACACATGACATGCATCCCTTTGTTTCAACAACAGAAACCCTACCATCTTCAGTATCGAAAAGGTTTTTCAGTATACATATACAGTCTCTTGAGAGGTACTTGTCTTCAAAAAATGGTAATACTTTTGAGATGCACCCAAGAGATACCATGTAAGAACAAAGTGAGGCACTGGAAGAAAAATTGCGCATTATTCTAATAGCTTTCCGGTGGTACTCTTTGTTACCAGAATCAAGGATCTTTGAAAAAGAGGTCAGTGCACTGGAAGCTGCAATGTTAGCTTTATCAGACCAATGGTTTGACAAAACTTCCAGTATGGCAAGAGCTTCGCCAATCACTTCTGACTCTAGGAGACTTGCCAACACACTGCAAGTATCTTCGCTTAAGTTTGTCACACCATTTCTGCATGAAAAACACAAAGATGTCATTCCAATAGCAATCTACAAGTTCCTAGTAATCTACAAGTACCGAAATAGCGAAGGCAAGAGAAACTGTACCTGCAGTATTTTGTAAATTCCAATAGTAACTCACTTCCACTTCTCAAAGCTTTTGTGTCATGCTTATCATATGCAGTTCTCAGAAATCTCACAAGGGGGTCAATAAAATTCTCAGTTGACGACGTAGAGCAAAAGGCTTGGTAATTGCATTTGAAATCTATTTTCATATCTTCGACGAATTGGCATTGCAAATCCCATAGACGCTCGTGAAGTTTAGACAAGTGCGTCAAATGTGTGTCATGTATCTGTGAATGTGATTTCTGGTCGCGAGACCCACCTCTAGTCTTGACCAACATCGAATTTAAGCCATGACTAGCCTTCACAAATGAGGAATCTGAATTGTAACTGTTATCTAACGATCCAAGTGACATGTTACTAATATCCATTGGCAAATTCAAACCATTCATGGAACTTCCAAAACTCCTAATGGAAGTGACGGATGCTTCCCACGAGCGAATGTCTTCTACTTGTCTGCTTGGGTTAGGAATGGAGACTCCATTAGCTTTGCACCATTTTGATATTAACTCCTTTAAAGCAACATTGGGAGTCAATGACATGTGCAGCAATTCCTTTTTCGTTTTCGGGCATATAACATTACCCTCATCAAACCATTTCTGTACCCACATCCTTTCGCATGTTTCTCCCGAAGCAATGACAACAGGGTCAAACATCAACCTTAAAGATATAGGACATGTGTATTCCTCCGGGGGTGCAACTCTACTCAACTCACTTGCAGGAGTTTCATAGTGATCATGGTTCAAATACGGCTCAGAGTTCTCAGTTGTCGCTGGTTCATCAGGACGAGAATAGACCTCCATTTGTTCTCCTATGATTGACTTCCTATGCGTTATCAGAAGATACAAAAGATTTTTCAAGATCGTCATTTTATTTTCCTCTTTTGGTCCAAGTTTCTGTAATAACTTCCTAATAGATCTAATCTCTATTATGATGGTTGTTGCGGATGTAATATTAAGTCTCGCCGCCACAAACTGGAGAGATTTAATGTCTGAATTTTCCTTTGAATCGTTATCTGAGGTTGAAGGACCTTGCTGGAGCAACTCTCTCATAACCCTTCCAGCCTCTTCATCAACAGAATCCAGGGCAAATGTCACACACCTAAGATCACCAATTATTCGAGAAATCTGCACAAAACAATGCAATGGAACTAAAGCATCAAGAAAGACGAACTAGTAATGAAAATAAAATAAAATTCATATACCATAAACTCTATTTAGACATATGAAACTATCCCCATTACCGAACTAGGTAACAAATTCTTCAGAATTATGTGGATTGCTTATAAATTTTAATAAGCAAGTTATAACTAACCTCTGCAGCCAACATAACAGGAACTATATCCTGAATCTGGACTAAGCTTTTCTCTAATGACTTTCTTGCCTTTTGACATTTTGACAGTATCGACTCCCCAGTTATTGCCTGTCAGAAATAAAATTATAACCAAATAAATAAGCCCGTGACAAGGTAGCATAGAATCATTGATAAGATTGTACGTATACAACTTTAGTTGCTCAATATGTTATGATAGAACAACATTAGAGAATCTGTATAAAAATTCAGGAACTTTCATGAAAAATAACTAGCGGTCGCAGAATAGTAAAGTTCATATAACTTTTTCCAGCTGAAATATAATAAAAAGAGCTACACACCAGGTAGAGTATACTAGATTCAGAGCAATTTTGCAGAAGTTGTTTGGCTTTATCAAGTGTACTAGTCAGCAAACACAGAGCTGCTATTCCTGATGAGGACCTAGGGCGCGTTTCCTCTATCTGCGGAAATATCCTTAGGACTCTAGCAACTAATTTCCTGAGTTCTGTGCATAATCTACGATGTACCTTTTAACATGAATCACAATCAATAAAATAAATACTTAGTTCCAATATCCAAGTGATGTTAAAAAAACACTGACATATCCACAGAAACATACTTGAATTGAACTATGTTAATTGTTATGTACCTTAAAAGAGCGGGGATCTGGTAATGGCTCTACCACTTCACAAGTATCAGTTCCCATTCAAGGGAGTGGCGTCCTTTGCTACAAATGAGACAGAGAAAAACATGCATATACACAAAATAATCAGTTCTAAAAGATGGAAAAACCCTAACTAATTGAATTACATGATAGAAAATAAAAACAAAAAAAAAAAAAAAGACAGAAGAAATAAACAAGTTACCTAGTATAACAATGATTGATGATGAGAAAAAGAAACAAGTGCTGCTTATGTTGAAAATTTCAACAGAACCAAATGAAGACTTGATCAAAACAGTGAAATCACTCAATATAGAGACATTTCAGCGTGTGTTAGATAAACATGATGAACAAAACGAAAGGGTTCGAATTCCAAGGGATCTTGATTGGAGTAAAGTAGGAAGTGCGCGAGTTCATTATATATTATATCTCCAAAACCTTGAGAAACCAAAACATTGAATTTACTAGGATAACCCCAGGAAAAGTAAAAGGAAAAATTTGAAATGATTAGCGAAATGAAAGCATGCCCTTTACAACAAAACCAACTAAAGATGATAATATGGTGGGCTTGAAGGAAAGAAGTAAGAAGATGAAAAGTGGGAAGAAAATGATTTATTAGAAGAAAAGAATTGTGACGAAAAAAGACCAAGTCGATGAAAGTGGAAGGAAAGTGTGATGATGTTTGACCAGTGAATAGAGACAAATACACTCAAGTGAAAAACGAAAGATACTTGTCGAGATGATAAGGTGACGGGTTTATGAGGGAAGGATGTGATTAATGTTCATTGTACACAACAAACATGATATCTAATGTGTGGGTCCTATAACTTTTTTCTTTAAATCACCACATTTAAAAACATAATAAAAATTTAAATAATCAACATCTCAAACAAGTTAATAAAGTAATTATAAAAATAATTTGTCACATAGACGATGCTTCAATGTCTGTGGCGCATGTATTTAAGTTTGATTTAAAAAATCATTGTCTATGACGCATGTTTTAGTGTTAGACCAATAATAATGGCGCATGCATGTTGAAAATAGGAGCATGGGATATCCCTTATGCATTTTATGTTGTATGTTGTATTTGATTAATTTTTTAAAATTATTTTAACAACAAAATAATAATAAAATAATGTTAAAAAAATTAAATTATAATATTATTATTAAAATAGAATTATACAATGATTAAAGAAAATTTTAATGACCCACTCAATCGTAAGGCGCATCGGTTCCACACTCCGGCGTATTCCCTTACCTTCGAGGCATCCCACGATTTTTCTGAAGTGTTTGGGGTCTCCTAGTATTCGTCTGAGTTAGAGGTGTTTGGTGTGAGGCTCTTGGGATATTAGTGTTATCTAACAAATTGTCGATCATATCTCCCCGGTAGCCGGCGCTGCCATAATTGAGTTCGGTGTCCATGTTGTCATAGTTGGATCCTGTTGGCCGGGTTACGTGTGGGAGGGATGGTTGGTTGAATTGTGACATTGATTCATTTTGGAAATGAAGCAATGGTTCTTGTGGTGTTTGAAAGACGTATGTTGGTTGGGTGTTTTGGCAGTGTGATGTTTGAGTGCTTTGGTGGTGTGAGTTTGCATGTACATTGGTTGGGTGCTATGGTAGGATGTGGTAGTATCATATGCCTCATAAATGCTATGGTAAGATGTGGTGGCAGCATATGATTGTTGGTTGTATGGGTCATTCTCTTGATTTTGTGTTTGAGCGTGTGACATGAATTGGTCGCGGGTTTAGGTGTATGTGATTTCGTAATCATGTTTGATTTGTTGTTAGGTGCATGTGGTATGGTAATATTGTGAGGTTGGTTGTTGGGTTTGGGTGAGCTGAAAAATGTTGTTGGGTCTGATAATGTTGTGGGGTTGGTTGTTGAACGTATGAAAATGAAGCTCGTAAGCATGGATTGATCAAATACCTCGGAGCAGACACAAATTGTGTTGTTGTAACATTATAGGTTTGTATGTGGTCTGTTGATGTCGGTGCTTCCATTGACGACACGCATCCCTAGCGAAGTCTCTCTAATTAGAAAAATTTCATTGGACATCGAATCTTAGTTGATGCCATTGTTCCAAACACGTCGGGGAATATGGAATTTGTTGCTGCATGTCGAACTAAAGTTTGACTCAGTCACATAGATTTTTTCTTCAATTCAAATCCAATCAAATTAAATATTCTTATATAATTCAAATTCAAATCTTTCAATTAAACCATATCCAATTAAATCTTCTACAACATTTATGAATTATGATTTGATAAAATATTTTTCTAAACTGATTTGGATTAACAACTTTCTTGGAATCAAACAAAATCATGCTCAGATTTATTAGCTACAAACTGAGGCCAAATAATGGAACACATGATGGATCATGTTGTCCCACATGTTACATCTTCACCAAAATGCATCTTGTACTACCCATGTTATTTTACCAAATGCAACCAATCAAAAGGAACAATATTCCCCTTTGGTGGCTAACATAACTTACAAGATGTCTGGAAGTAAATCTTCAAAAAATAGATTAAACCATATCAGAACATACATTAGCAAAAATAGCAGCACATACACCATTACTCCCTTTTTTTTTGTGCCAAATTTAGCAAAAGTATGGACAGAAAACCAAAGAGTTAAGCACATGTCAAGATCAGAAAATAATACCAAATCTGGAAGATCACAAACCATTGTTATATTACAGAAACATATCAAGGTAACAACACACAAAATCAACAATACCAACAAAAATAGCCAAAACACTGATAACACATAAATAAGTGTGTCCTTTTCTTTTTCTCCCCTTATTCGCCTCAAAAGAGACAAGGACATAGGACCACCATCAAACAAGCATCATGCAAGATGTTATGCAGATTCTTCTAAACATTAAGACAGAGAAACCAAAAACAGTCTATAAGCATGAACTTAGAGAAGACAACATCCCACAACTTCTTATGAACATGAGATGGAATAAACATCCTTTTTTGAACCTCATCATATCATCATCTCCCCCTAATTTTCTTAAAATGGGCAAGGGGTAATTGAAAAATCCACCCTAGGATGGGCATAAGTACTAGATAACAAGAACACATACCATAAAATTGCAGTAGCAACAATTTTGTTCTCTAGACGGACATATGTCAAACACATGTCAAATGCAATGTGTCTAACAATGTACTTATGTAGCAGCAATAACAAGTTGAGGTGAAAAAGATCCAACATTTCTCTATCAGAAACCAGATCCGTTTCATCAACAAGTGCACAAATGTTGTACACAATGTCTATCACATCTTTCCCAATATTCATTATGTAACTCAAAGTCAAAATATTTGGGGCAACACCAATCTCATTATCACAAATAACAATATATTTATTTTGAACACTTAAAATATCACAGATTAGATAGGGAACACAAATAAGTGGTTGGATGCCATGAGACTGAACATGCTTAACCAATTGACAAAGACAACATTCTCCACATTCCAAGGTAGCATGATTTCCTACCTGGTATAAACTGTGATGCAACAATATATTACCTCGGATTGCAGACTTAGCATATTACCAAAACCAGATTCATTAATAACAGACACATTGGAAGGCTTAATGTCTGTGACATCTTTTCTAACAAACAACTCACAACCGAAATTCAGAAACACCCATGAGAAATACCATCATTTTTAACCACAAATTCCTTTATTAGCCTAGGATAACCATATTCAACATTCAGTATTGTCTCCAACAACTAAGCATCACTAAGAAGCTCTATATTATACTTCAGTGTTTCAACATAATTTCTTCATCCTCACTTTGGATTTCCTCTTCTTCGCTGCCAGCTTCCTTATCAATAGAGATAACCTTATCAGACCCTATAGACTTGCTTCTACCCAAATAATCGTTAATAATTGAAGGTGAAAACTTCACACACTTTCCTCTATCATATACCTTTATATACTCCTTGTTGCCTTCAATGTTACACTCAACAATAATGTTCACAATGAGTTCCTTGAGTAGCTTTTCATAGAAAGGACCAACATCAATTACAATTTTCATTAACACAATTGCTTTCAGCAACATTATAATCTCTTTATAATCAAGAGAATCTATGCCTATCTCTATTTCACAAGCAATCCTTAGAAAAAATATATTTCCACTTCTGAACACTTTTTTCATAATGGAATGACACATTATCCAAATGAGAAACAACAACATTCACAAGAATCCTTTTTCTACCAACCTTCCTCCTTATTGTGGACACAATGTCCTAGACGTTTTCTTCAGCATCTGTCTCAGAGTCACTTAAGTGTATAAGTTTTCTCTTTAGGTACTTCTTCTCAACAATTTTACTTTTCACATACTTTGCTTTTGGAGTATTATCCTTTTTAATCTCAGTATTCTTAGCTCTTGTGTTTGGAACATCAACTGGTACTATCATCTGAAAAGGTACAATATTGAGTACCACATCGTGTTCATCAAATGGTACAATCACCAAGCTTGACACCTTGCTCAACCTTTCTCTGAGTTAGAAACTCAATCACCAACAAGTCATACAAGTTCTATGACACATCCTGGTTAACATCTTTATTCCCATATTGAGAATCATTAAGCTTGACAAGAAAAGAAACACCTTCGGACTTACCACAAGCCTTTCCTATAATTGTTATGTCTTTCATACAAGCTCCACGAGCTTTTATAACTACAAAATATTTTTCAGTCCTTTTCTTAGATGTCTTCTTTGGAATGCCATAATTATTCAACAATTTCTTTGTTTATAACATTCTTTCAGATTGACTCTAGAACTTTGCAGAGGAAATTTTAGAGACGTTGTTGACATCAGTACTAACATCCTGACAGGCTCTCACATAATCACCATCCATGTCAGTGACATAACTACTAACATCCTGATTGATTTCCACATTCAAGTAACTATTCAGGGATGTACTTTTCACATCCATTTGATAAACTGTGAAGATAAGGCAAAAAGACAGACCTAGAAACATTCTAATGGATTCAAGATGGTTAATAAAAGTAGAAGCTTCATCAAAGT